TTCGGTGTCTCCGTGGCCTTTGCTCTGGCGTAAGTCATTCTGTGCTATGAATATCCCGAATCAACGCTAACATCATATCTAGGGCTTCTATCCCATACTTTTTCTAAACAGGATGAGGTTTTGCGTGACAAAGTCCAGTCTGTTTGGAATTTTGGTCTCTTTTCGGCGTGTCTGTCGCTTGCGACAGCTCAGCTACCCAAATATTCACTTCTGATGCCAAATTCCCCTTGTCGTTATCATAAATATATTCCTCGCCGGCGATCCCGAGTGCCCTATGCCTGTTATTGACACCATTTTCTAATATTTTGCCCTCCCCCTCCCTCCCTCTCCCTGTGTTTTGCGCCAGACTTGGTTATTTGGATTGCCTCTTAGCTCATTTCATGCCCCTTACCCTTGTTCTCCTGATACCAACTCCCTCCCTCTCCCACTTTCTACTGCCCTGTGGTAGTTTCCCAAGTAGTCAAGGACGATTCGCTCAATGACAGTGATATGCTTTGATGTTACTAGTTTGTGTTTCCTGTAGGGTTATAATCTGTACATTGATCAATTGATAACAGAAACTTTTGAATATGCTGCTGGTGAGCATAGAGTAGTAGTATTGCTCAAAACATCAAACAATGTAGGATATACGACTAACTAGGGAAATGTGAATGTTATAGCAAAGTTCATTATCCTTTGGGTGTACATTGACACGAGCTACGTCTTAACAATATTTGTCTACATCGTCCGAGGTATTCACACCAACCAGCCAATGACGGCCAAGTAACGTTAATGCAAACATGCAAAACAATTATGCTGAAGCTCCGCACCCGATAACAATTCCAATACTTCTTTCACCCCATTCACCATTTGCACATATTCCGAGGCTTCTGAAATTGACTGATAACATGTCGCTCCCGGGTCTCGAGCTAACGCAGCCATCAGAGGAAAGATCGCAGGCACCAGCACCACCATCACAGATCAGCCTGACCCCAGGTTCGGAGTGGCGGTTCGAGGTCGCCTTTGGACATATTATCAAAGTAAAGGTATGTTATATTCTCTGATATGATTAGGATACTTCTGATTCAAGTTGTGCAGCTTCTCAATGGAACTGCCGAACTGTTCGGAACAGAGCTTGCCGAATCCCAAACCTACACTTTCACTGGCACAAAAGCGGCAATCTTCACATGGCATGGCTGCGCACTTGAAGTCATTGCGGTCGAGACAGCATCAACCACCTCTGATGGAGTCACCCCGATAGTCGGTCATGGTGCAGGAGGCTGCCAAAGCGAATACACGGCTGAGGAAACACCAATGGTAGAATATGCCAACGTCCACTTTGCGCTGGAGACAATGCGAGAAGAAGCTCAATCAATAGGCAAGGATGGTCCGCGGGTGCTCCTTCTCGGCTCCGAAAATACCGGAAAGACCAGTTTGGCTAAGATATTGACCGCCTATGCGACGAAGATCGGCCGTCAGCCGTTGGTCGTGAACCTCGACCCTACGGAGGGCATGCTCGGTGTCCCTGGTACACTGACTGCCACTGCCTTCCGTACCATTTTGGATGTCGAAGATGGCTGGGGAAGCAGTCCCATGTCCGGGCCCAGCCCCGTGCCTGTCAAGCTGCCGCTTGTGTATAGTTACCCGATGCAAAGCCCGCTCGATGGCGAAGGCGCCGTGTACCGACCTGTCGTCTCCCGTCTAGCTCTGTCTGTCACGGGGCGGATGGCCGAAGACGAAGATGCCCGCGAAACGGGAATTATCGTCGATACGCCCGGAATCCTGGGCACGGACAAGCCTGGCACAATGGAGTTGATCAACCACATTGTTACAGAGTTCTCAATTACAACAATCTTGGTACTAGGCTCGGAGCGCCTGTACAGCACCGTTGCTAGACAATATGACAACAAGCCCACCTCTAGCGCAACAGCCGCTGTCTTCGACGAGCACATCTCAGTCGTCAAGCTTTCCAAATCGGGTGGCTGTGCTGACCGCGACGACGCCTTCCGCAAGGCAACACGGGAGTCCCAAATCCGTTCCTACTTCTTCGGTAACCCTATCCCCTCCTCATCGCCATCTTCCGCCATTACTCTCTCTCCCCACGCACAGCAACTTGACTTCGCCTCCCTCTCCGTATACAACTACACCGTCTCCTCAGCAGATGATGAGGATGAAGACGAATACGACCCTTCCCAGCTGGGAACGGGCGACTCTTTCCTCCCCGGCGGTGGCGGCATGGATGACTACACACCGCAAGAAACAAAACAAGACCCGGACCGCGCTGCCCCCCTCCCTGGTGTGGTGGGCTCATTCTCAGAGTCCACTGAGAACGCGAATTCCAACGCCAACGCCAACAACGGCAGCATCGTCCCCTTGAAGAAGGTTCTTCCACCCGCTCCCTCCGCTCTGGCAAACACCCTCCTTGCAATCACTCATGCACCTACCACGGCATCCCCCGCCGAAGTCCGTGATGCGAGCATCATGGGCTTCTTGTATGTTGCCGATGTCGACGCGGATAAGGGCAAGATCCGTGTTCTTGCGCCTGTTGGTGGGAGAATGCCTCCACGCGCTATTATTTGGGCGAAGCGTTGGCCTGGGGAGTTGGTTGGATTGGTGGGATAGAGATCTTCTTTGCATTGCATTTTTTTTTCTTGCTCTCATTAAATATTTGCATCTACTCTTCGGATATGGAGTTGGGGGTTTATATTTCACTTAGCATGGGGTTGTGGCTCGTTATTACATACAATCATTCTACGGGTGTGCATTCAATGTGCATGTAGGCAATAATCTTGTACAATAGCGTGGATCTCCGTACATGGCGACATACTACTAAATGAAGCTACCCATGGGCTTCTGTTTTACTGAAGAGGTGGCTCTGTTGACCTTTTGGTGACACGAAGAAATAGCCCATCGAAATGTGGGAGTAATCTAGAAAAAGCAGACAAAAATGGACAAAACGCAGTTGAATGAGCCAAGTGGACCGGTTTTTGTTCTAAAATATATTTTTTCTTTTTTGTCTCCTTTTTATCCATGAGCAAAGCACCTTAACACCTGGAGGCTGGGCCTAACGAAAATGCCTTTGTTCTCTGTCATCCATAAACGGATATCCCCAGTCATTCCTGAAAATGGGACTCCACATACCTCCCAATACTGCCCTGCTCAAACCAGATGAGTGATATGCATCTTCCGGAGGGCTTACCCCAGTGGTGGCTTCCATCGTTCGGTAAGCTCGTTGTACCAGCCTTCAAGGGGGAGCACGCGTAGCGGTTCCTTTTCCAAGCTGGTCAGTTCATTATCGTACCGATTGGTTGCCTTATTCTTCAGAGAGTAGCTCATGTGAGAGCGTACCACGTCTTCGGACTTCAGCTTTGAGATGTCATGTAGTCTATCCACAAGTAGACATTTGTGTAATGGTTCACATTGGTAACTGATCTGACACCAGATGATCACCTCTAAAAGCGAGACCAATGCCCCACATCCTGCGTAACTAATGCACACCACTTAGGGCAGATGGGATAAGGACCTGACCTGTCCTTGATCGATCTTTCGGACAAGGTCGTGAGCTATGACCCTCGTTGATATCGGCTTGCCATTGAGGCGGGATTTGGGCTATTGTGTCTGATGGATGAAAGAAAGATAGACCAGAAATTGGTGATGACACGCCGGTCATTTTCACTTTCACTCCCAAGGGTTGGTGTTTTGAAGGCCTAGCCTTTGAAAAATAAGAACAGCACACCCCGGCTAGTCATATAGTTTCAATGATGTTGCAGTGAGCGAGTTGTGTAAATCCCAGGTCCATATCCGCTATCACCACCAACTGTCGTGCTCATGGAGCGAAAAAAAAGCCATTAAGGGGAAAAGAGCCTTGCCCAGGAAGTCGGACTGCCAGCTAAGAAACTGGTGTGCTCGCTGGCGAGTTTCGCTGCGAGCCATTCGCCTTTCTTGTATGCAGCTTAGCTGTGTCGCGAATGAAGCTCGCGGAGAGGAAACCATTCGTTCAAGTTTGGAGTGGTAGTTGATATGGTCGCACAGGGGATCAGATCCTGCCTTATAGGCAGGACTGAAGGGGTGTTCGTCGGTAGATTGGCAAATACACGTCAACATGGTTGTTAAGGAATCCTCCCTTCTTCGAAAAGGTAATGGAAGATCCAGAGGATAGATGGGTCCTAATGGAACTCGCTCAAGATAGCCCTAATTCTGGGTCAATCCCTTCACAATGTCTGGCAATATCTGTCTGGGGTATCCGTGGCGACGGGACCACATAGGGCCCAAGCCGGCTGGGACGAGATTGCGAGGATCTCTGTTCGGTGGAGTCCAAGTCATTCTTTTCTGGTTTCCCTCGAGATTTATATTGTGATCGTTTGATGGATCAGGGATTAGGCCGTTGAAGGGAGGATGAGAGGAAGTCAAAGAGACAATCAACGAAGGGCGATGGATAAATTCAGGAATACTGTTAAAATAAAGGGGAAGTCACAAATAGAGACCGTCCAAAGTGTCCACATGACAAGGGTAGATCTTTCTACTTGGAAAGAGCCTTCCAGTGTCTACATGAAGGAATGAGACAGCAACAATAGACTAAAACAATAGACTAAAACAATAGACTAAAACAATAGACTGCATTATCACATCCGACGGGAGCACCTAAGAGAATAGACCAACTATATAATGTCATTTTCTCCATCAAATAGTAGTCAACCAGAACCATTCGCCTTGACTACCGGCAACGATATTATCTAAACACTTGGACAGGTCAATCCAGAGTCAGTGGAAGAAGCAAATGTTAGGATAGTATAACAACCAGCTAGTATTTCGGACTTCAACACCGGATTCCGGCATGAAATTGGTATGAGTAATAGCAGGGCTATGTTCTACCTAAGTAGACTCCTATATATATGCTATGCTATGATAGTGACGCTAGTACCGTACAAAACAAAACTCCAATCATTGTACAACCCCAATTCTCCCAAGTATACATGCATTTACAGAAATCAAAGCACCTGAAACCATACAATCATAAAACATCACTCCCACCTCCTCCACTCATCAACAGCCTTCCTCATTTCCTCATCACAATCATACCCCTTCGACTGAGAAACCAGCAACTCCTCCCTCCGATCAAGGAACCGCCTCTCGGCCTCAACCCTCCTCTGCGCAACAGACTTCAACAACCCAAAATCATCCCTAAGAACCGCCTCCCGGAACTTCGCCCGCATACGCGGCGAGTACAGTTGACAACTCGCCTCACGAGTCCGACCAGGCCCGTCACCAGGCAAGATCCGCATCTTCGTCGTGATCATGCATGCAACAGGATGATTCGACCTCGCCAGCGGCCAAACAACCTCATCATAACAGTCTTCGCAGACACACAACTCCGGCAACGATGGGATAAAGTGCCACGTACTAAGAGCAGGCCGATCACGACGACAATCCCGCAGCACGACCTTGCGCCGCGCGTAGTTGAGGAACTCGCGCATATCCGGGCGGCGGGTGCGTGAGGAGTCCGATTCAGCTCGTGAAGCAGCTGCATCGAGGAGATCGATGAATTTCACGAATCGCGGACTCGACGTGACAAAGTCGCATACCCGCTCGGTGGGGTCTGGGCTTGGCTGGAAGGTCTCGCGGTGGCTGGGCATTAGGATGCGGATGTTGCGCGCGCAGCTGCTGCACACGTGGAAGCCTGGGAGGTCGTTGCCCGTTTCGGGGTCGTAGATGCGGTGCCAGCATTGTTCGGCGACGATGCGGCCGGGACAGGACCGGGTACCGGGTGGTGGACGGGTCATTTGGTACAGGAGCTCTAGGCTGTCGTGTTGCTTTTTTATCATCTGGGCCCAGGCGAGACGGGTCCATGCGTTGGCGAAGGCGCATCGAGTCTTTTGCCCGGCTGGCTTTGAGAGGCTTGGGATGAAGTAGTCTCGGTACCGGGAGTGTGCGATTTGACTCATGCAGGATGGGCAGATGTCTAGGTGAGTGAGGCCTTTCAGCGTATACCAATCTTGGTAGCCTGCTACGGCGATTGTTCGCGGGCATGGAGAGAGGCCCAGGCCTACTGAGCTGGGGCGCTGTGGAGATGTTGCCGGGGGTCGAGTGGGTGCGGGATGAGCCAGTGACCTGTCAGTGTTGAGTTGGATTGCGACTTGGGTTGATGTAGGCTTGATCATCTCCGGTGGTGGCCGTGATGGATGGCGAGAGCCAGACATCTCCCGGGTAGGTGGCATTGTCACCGATGTTGCGCGGGCACGTGAAGCCGGGGGCACTTCCTGTTGTGTTGGTTGGATCGGAACGCGCTGAGGCCCACGCGAAGGTGAATGCGAGGCTTGAGCAGGAGCAGGAGGCGGAGGGGGCAAAAAGATGTTGAGAGGATCCAGTTTGACAGGCTTCGCATTTGGCATTTGCCGTACCTCCGGGTCTGACATAGATCCCGACTCTCGCTGTTTTTGTCGCTGACGAAGCTTCTCCTCAATGCGTTCTGCAAGGGTGGGCCCATTCGGCAGAGCTGACACAGGGGCCGTGGGTACAGGCGCCTGTGGCTGGTGCGAAGGTGGTCTGTTGGATGTGGTGGCCGAATCGGACAAATACCCCGAGTTAGGCTCCCGTCGAAAGCGTTCTGGCATTGGTCGTGTTGTCGGAGGTGCATGTCTAGCACTGTTGGACCGACTAATGGAAGACTTGGGCGGGGGTAGGCAGGTCTTGTCATGCATGGGAGCTCGAGCACCACTGCGATCCGGTGCAATCAGCCCACGGGAGCCAGACGTGTTTTGCATTGGCGGCCTGTGTCTGTTGGAAGTGCCATCCCGGCTATGAGATGGCAGTTGGGTTTCCCGCTGTGTATTGAGCTCATGGGCAGGCTGTTGCTGGGCGAGAGGCCGAGGGGGTGGGCCGCGTGGTTGGCTTGCAGTTGAGGGCGGCGCACGTTTTGGCCTCTCATCCATCTCAAACCTGACGGTGTTCCGAAAGATCGGTTCCTGAGCAGGCGGTGTCATTGGCCCTGCACTTTCATCCGAAGACACACTCCCGAGCCCAGACACGCTGGGAACACTGGCAGGGGAGGTAGACGGCGGCGGGGGCGAATTGGCAGAGACTATGATGGGATACTGATCAACAGCCCCTCTTGTATGAACACCATCGACCCCCGGTTTATCTCCAAGCTTGGATAGACCGTTTAGCTCCTTCATGAGGGACTGGGGCTCTTCCTCAACGAAGGGCGCTGGAGGCCATTGCGATCGTGCTCGTCGCGAGCTCCGAGAGGGAGCCATCTTTAAAAAAGAAAAAAGAAAAAAAGAAGATTTGGCCAAACAGATAGTAGGGAATATGATTGTTTTGGGACGTTAACCTGGTGCGTTGACGTCTCGTGGAATAGCTCGAGAAATATGGTTCATAGTATAAATAGTCGGACTTGAAAAGTGAAAATTTGCAGGGAGCGGCAGAAAGCTATGGTACGTATGAAAGAGAGAGAGAAAAATTTTCATGAAAGTAGACAAAGATGCTCGCTTTAAAGTACGTGCGCAAGCCGGATGTACAAGGGTATATAAGCGTCGGTGGATGGCATCGGGCATCACCCCGAGAGAATAGACCTCTGATAGGCCATTTCAGTGATTGGGCAAGAGCAAAAATACAAACAAGAATAGCTTCAGGCTGACGAGGAATCACAAGGCAAGGATGGCAGGTGGAAACCGTGAACCAAATGGTCGAGTCACCGTCATCACCAAGGGGTGTGGCTATGGCAGCCTGTTGACTATTGGGCACGAAGTGGAACCTCCGGGTACTGCCGTTGCGTTTCAAGTCGATTTATTTAGAATTCAGATCCACTGGATCATATTGGGCAACAAATGAAAATCTCGAGGTTCCTCAGGGGCTGATGTTTAGGAAACTGGTCCTAAACTTGAAGTGACCGATTCAAAGGATAATGACCTGCGTTGTGTCTCCAGTGTATGGAGCGGGGGAGAGATATTCTCCAAGGTTTGATGAAGCGGCAGATGATACAAAGTCGGCGCTATATCCTGCAGAGCCAGGACCAACTGACATGCCGGCTCGTGGGTCGTGGGGGATTGGCCCCTCATGGGGCTCCGGGTGGCTTGCATGTTGATTTTGTAACGGACTGAAGCGCTAATACAGTAGATCCGACGAGGGGTTTTACCTGAGCGCCATAGATTTTCAGTCAGAGAAGGGGGGGCGTCGAACCTGTTAGATATCATTTGTTCCACTTGAAAAACACTGTGTTGCAGTGCTATGTTGCATGATATCAAGTATACCCTTGTTCCGACAGGAGAGGACCCGACGGAAATGGCGTCATATTTCTGCGAACACCTCGGAATATTCGAATAGTTGATATGTCAATGTTGGGCTTGGGAAGTATAAAGCACATTGTCAAATCTGAATACGGCACACTCCATATAGATAATAAGATTGGAGTCCGTTGATTTCAAAAAGAGAAGCGAAGGGAAAAGAAGAGTAACGCAACAATTCCGCCGGAGATTGCGGGGATCCGATGACAAATGTGAAGCCGATGGCCTTCATGTTCTCCAATATTCCCCCTCACCCCCAATCTACTTATTTATTATGTTTCGCTCTATTCTACGCAGTAGTTCTCGACTCACAGTACTTCGAAATCACATTTCCCCTCCACTCGTGAACCAATTCACTCCAATCCGCAATATGTCCGTCCCGACAACCATGAAGGCCGTAGTAGTCGAGCAGACCGGCGGGCCTGAAGTGCTCCAATTCAAGACCTCATACCCAGTCCCTACCCCAAAAGCAGGACAGCTGCTAGTACGCAACAACATCTCCGGTGTCAACTACATCGATACCTACTTCCGGACGGGCCTATACCCCGCGCCCAAGCCCGAGATCTTGGGCCGCGAGGGCGCTGGTGTTGTCGCTGCTGTCGGTCCCGGGACTTCTGGCTTCCAGGTCGGTGATCGAGTTGCATGGTTGTCTACTGGTGGGTATGCCGAGTACACTGCAGTGTCCACGGCCCAGACTGCGAAGATCCCCGAGGGGATCAGTGATGAGGATACCATGGCCTCATTCTTGAGCGGTTTGACGGTGCTTGCTTTCGCAAAGGAGACTTATCCCGTGCAGAAGGGCGATTGGGTTCTTCTCCATGCTGCAGCTGGCGGTGCTGGCTTCCTTATGACCCAGATCTTGAAGACTATGGGTGCCAATGTTATTGGTACCGCCGGCGGCGCAGAGAAGTGTGCGCTTGTGAAGAGCCTTGGTGCCGATGTGGTGATTGATTACCGTAGCGAGGAGGGTAAGGACTGGGTTAAAATTGTTAAGGAAGCTACTGGTGGTCGTGGTGTCGATGTTGTCTACGATTCTGTTGGCAAAGATACCTGGGAAGGAAGCTTGGAGGCTGTCAAGCGCAAGGGTACTATCGTCTGGTTTGGCAATGCTAGCGGGCCTGTACCCCCGCTTCCTCTTGCGTATGGACTTTCCCCCTCTGCACTGGACTTGGCTAGTGATACTCATGATATTTTAATAGGAAACTTACCCCCAAGTGCGTCAAGATTGCTCGCCCATCGCTCTTCGGATACATTCAGACCCGCGAAGAATTTGAATCATACACCAATGAGCTGTTCGGCCTACTGAAGTCAGGCCAGCTTAAGACCAAGATCCACAAAATATATCCACTGGAGGACATTGCTCAGGTGCACAAGGTATGTAGTCTCCGTCGTTCTTTGCATGGAATTCTAGTCATTACGTATTCTAACCCGCTCGATAGGATTTGGAAGGACGGAAGACCATGGGAAAGCCACTGCTGAGACCTTGAAGCAGGACCTGGCCTTTTAAAACAATATAAGCAGATTGTGATCTATTGATAATATAAAACTACGATGCAAGGATGTGAATATTCCTTAGATATCCATACGAATTTCATTTCTGGTTCTGCATTTGGTTAAAAACATATTTGAAAAAGCATTCCGGTAAATTTGCAGCAGACTGATCACGTAGTAAAACGATAGCTGCGCCTAGCGACCTTTCAATCGCTAGTTGTCTCCCTCCAGTGCACCCTTGATTTTCTCCCTTTCCTCAACAGCCTGCTTCTTCGAAGTCTGTGTCGGCCCCCGGCTGGGATGTCCCTTGGATTCCTGGGTCTCCGCAATAACTTGCTCCTTCGAAGTAGTCTGGGTTCCTCGGCTGTTCGTTGGTCCTTTACCGGGCTGTCCCTCAGGCTCCTTGCCCTTCGCAACCTTCTGCTCCGAAGTCCGGGTTCCGCGCTGGGCTTGTTCCTTTTCAAGCTGCCCCTTTTTCTCCTTAAGGAACTTGGCGATGACCTCCGGTGCGATAGCTGGCTTGATCTTTTCCGGGTTCTGGAAATGATTGATAGTCCGATCAAGGGTCTCCTTTGGAGTCTCAAAAAGGGGAATGTTGCGGGGCTCATTGCTAAGGCGTGTGCGGGACTGCTCTCCCTCAGTCGACTTTTCCTTACCTTTGCGCGGATTTGGATCCACCAAGCCCATCAAGTCTTTGGCTTCCTCCAGATCCCAGCCAAAGGCCTCAAGGGTATGAATCATTTGCCAGACGGCAACCATAGCATCATCACCCGGCTGAAGATTGAAGGTCAACTCGTGTGTCAGCATGTGCATAGCCCACTCGGCCGGGGTGGGCTCGGGAGGGCTCATGATGGACTCCTTTGCGCGGCGGCGTGCGACTTCCTCCTCGTCGGGGATGAAGTCAAGAGGTACGGGCTCGACGTAGTCCATAATCCAGTCGTTGTACATGAATTTGTAGAAGCTTGGCAGGACCGACAGGATTTCATCGAAGTAGTACTGTCCGAAGCTGGTCTCAAAGACGTCCGCGATAATCTTCATGCCGGGCAAGATATGGACAAACAATTCAGCTTCGACGAGGAATTCGAACTCGTAGGTCGGGGCTAAACCAGCATCCCAGTCAATCTTCTCCCAGGGAGCGAGGTCAAAGGGACCTCTGGCAGGATCACGGAATTCCTTGGCTCTAATCTTGCCAACTGGGCTGAGATCGGGGCACAGCTCATTGTAATAAGCGATGGTCTCCTCAGTAGGTTCCTCTACCGAGATGATCTCAAAGCCATCGATGTCTGGAACCTGCGTGGCTTCGGTCATGTTCATGTCAGCGAGAATCTTGAATTTGCGAGCAGTCCGATCATTTCCGGCAATTGCAATGGCATATTTAACGACCTTGCGAGCCATCTCGGTGGTGAAAATCTTTTGATCAGCGTATCGAACATTGGTCCATGCGTCGGGGTCATCAATATCCTCAAAGTAGTAGCCACCAAACAGCACGGAGCAGCCGCGGTTGAAGTCTCCGGGGCCTTGATGGTGAACGAGTTGCTGGTTCATCCACAACTCCTTGGCAGACCGATCACAAGTCTTTCGGGCTTCCTCGAGATCCCCTATCTGCTCGGGACAAACATCGTGGTAGAGCAGGTAAGTAAAGAAATTCTTCATAGTGTCAGTGCACACTTTGATCTCCTCCTCAGTGTCAGGATTGTAGTGGCCCATGTAGAACCCAGTCCTATGGACTCAGTTAGCATCTGTGACCTGAAATAAGCGCTCAGATCCTCTAAAACTCACAAGTAGCCAGTGGCAATATCGTTAAAGGAGATTGGGTATGGCTTTCCCTGCTTGGGAAAGATGGCCGTAGTGCAGCGAGCTTGCATTGCTTCTTCTTTGGTCATTTCCTTCAACTCCGAAGGAGTCACTCCCTGGGAATGATTGGGGCCCACGCTGACACCGCCGTACTGCAGGTACTTAAGGAAAACCTTGCGTCTGTAGGGTTCAAGGCGTCGCTTGTACAAGAAGCGCTTGATGCCCTCGTCAATTCGACTAGATAAGTCATGTTAGTCGATGTTGTTTAGTGTGTTGTATCATAATATTTGAGGATCTTACTCAAGAATTGGCAAGGCACTGTGATAAAGAGTTAGATACTGTCTCAGGTAGGGAGGTATAAAATGGACATACGGATCATAGATAGTCTTGTTCTCCTCAAACTCCTGTGGAGTCATTGGTGCATCGGCATAGAAGGGTTCGAATCCCGAGGGTGCGTTCTATGAAGACTGTTAGACAAAGTCCAAACGGGTGAACATCAGTAACACAGTCATACCTCTCCTCTCTGACTCTTGGGGCGCCTCTTGCTCTTCCTCTTTTTCTTTGAAGTACCAACGTCAAGTTCAACGTTTGCGAGAAACTTCTCCTCGCCAGGATCATGCTTGAATCCAATCTTGGGCTCGTTCTCCGAGACTGCACCGCCCTTCGCATGCAAAATGCCTGCGTTAGTTTCCGACTCTTTTGCAACGGCGGCAAAATCAATTACTTTCGGTAAAGTGCCTTCGAGGTGGTCCTCAGCTAGAACCTGCTTGTTAGTCTCCTGGTCCGAACTGACCAAAGCGTCCTCAACCTTTAAAATACTGTCAGCATAATTTCCTATTTGAGATACCAAATGTATTGGGATCTCGACAGAGTCAAAATACTCACATGGTGCTTAGTCTGGGATGCAGCGTCCGACTTCTTGAGCTCAGGCTTCGCAAGTGTGACCGGATCAATAAAATGAACACGGGAATGCTTAACCTGACACGATTTAGGGACCAATTCCGGAGAAGAAGCGACGGTGCCTTCCTTAATAGCTTCGCCATGCTCCTGGTCCGAGATGATGGGGCCAAGGTTAGCAGTGGCACCGTCATCAGTCAGGGCCTCAGTGGGCATAATGGACTCCTCAGAGACACTGAGATCCAGTGATTGGGTAGCGGTAGACATATTATCTTTGCCGGCAGGGTCAGGTTTATCATCCATGATGAATGATGGAACTAACAAAGTCGAAAAGCTGATGTTTCTATGTCGCGAGAAGTGAGGATAAACGTTGGAAGGGAGAAGGGCAGATCAAAGCAGAGAGACGAAACTCAATAGCAGGCGCCTGGCAATCAATGGGACTGCTTAGTCGTGATGTTTAGTCGTCCGCGCGGGTGATGCTTAGTCGTTCGTGATGCGATGAAACTAATACATAGATGAGATCAAACAATCACTTGGAACCCATGATTTATGCCTCTTTTCACTTCTAGAAGATGTTTTACATTATGATAGAATATGCTTTATTGCACTATATACATTAAACCGAGTTAGAAAGGAAAGAAAAGCCAAAAAATTGCGGCGTTGAATAACTGAGTTGTATAGATACTATGTAGTATAGATCGTATAGACCGTGTGGAGTCAGGGCCTAGAATGACATCGCCCCTTATCCCGCAATTGTGTGATCATGCCTGTCAGTTCTACACGGATCTCAGTTCTCATTCAGATGGCATATATTTGAATGATTCACCTCATCTGCATTCCGTTTGCCAAGTTCAAAGCTACATGTGGGTCTCCACACCTCAGAGCTACTCCAGTTTGGGTCATCCGGAATACACACCCCCTCGAGTCATAAAGTGACTATATCAAAATGTCCGCGAAACCAGAAAGTCGAAAGACACCACAACTAGGCAGCGAAGAGCTGATCCCCTTTGACCATGCTGCTGCCGGACAGTAAGTTTTCACACCCCCGCTCTCTTCCTGGCCCGACGTCCCGTGCGGATTAGCTCAACCAGGTGCGCGGAAGCAAACCACACTGGCGGGCTTGAGTACGATATTAGATCTACGAGGATGCTAACAGGATCTTTTTTATCCAGCGATGGCGTTCGCTGCACGCCTTCTGGCGTCTTGATCGCGAAACCATGCACGCGGCAGGAGGTAGAATTCTACGAATCCAGCGCGCTCCACCCTGCATTCCAGGAGTTCATGCCCCTCTACGTCGGATCCCTCTCATCCTCCGAGCAGCAGCAACCGCTGGCAATTGCTGCCGCCCGAGAATCTGGCGTTCTTCCCCTCCCCGACTCCGGCGTCGTATCCGCCGATTCCTCCCAACCGCCATCGCACACATCCGTCGCGCACGAAGACGGCGCTGTCCCCGCTAAGGAGGAAAAAACCTGGGTGCCCTCCGGGGGTAAGGAAATTGATACTGGCTTGTCGATCGTCCTAGAGAACATTGCCTGTGGGTTCCGTCGGCCCAACGTGCTGGATGTTAAGCTCGGCGCGCGTTTATGGGCTGACGATGCGCCGCTTGAGAAGCGGAAGAAGCTTGATGATGTCTCTAAGGAAACTACTAGCTCTAGCCTTGGATTTCGCATCGCGGGCATGAAAGTCTGGACTGGCCACCATGGGGAGACTGATGAGGGCGATCGGACAAATCCATATGCTACAAAGCACGAGGGTGCAGAGGGTGAAAAGGGCGAAGTTATCGAGAAGGATGGCTATCTGCGGTATGACAAGTGGTACGGCCGCTCTTTCAATGCGGATAATGTCAAGCAAGGCTTTGAAACTTTTCTTGCAGGCGCAAAGGCGGGCAAGATAGACCGATCAAAAACGGTTGCCCAGCGATTGGCGACAGAATTGAAAGATTTACAGCGGGTTATCGAATCCGAAGAAAGCCGGATGTACTCTGCGAGTGTTCTGGTGGTCTACGAAGGAGATATAGAAGCAATGGAGCTCGCAATCCAAGAGGAACAGAAAGCCCCGGAACCCCGTTCCCGGGAAGAAGAAGATGATGATGAAGACGACGAGGAATTCGAACTTCCTGAAGAAACCTTGGAGTTGGTCAATGTCCAGCTTGGTGACGGGATGCCTCAACAGGCTATCAATATCAGCATTGATCCCGAAACCATGCAAATGCCCGACGAGGACGATGACGAGGAGGATGACATTCCTAAAGTCCACGCTCTCCGCCTGATTGATTTTGCACATGCCAGTTGGACTCCTGGTCAGGGGCCTGATGAGAATCTTCTCAAGGGTGTGCGCAGCCTCGTCAAGGTCTTTGAGGAACTGGCACAGTGAAATAAATGGAGTATAGAATTGCATGCGCTCACAGTTGCTGGCGGCCGTTGGGTGCACTGCTACCTTGCTGTTTTTGTGTTGTTTCTTTTTATTTCAATTAGCCTACATGTGTAGATCATATCTTCATTTATCACTTAACTAATGTATTACGTTCATTCATTTAGTATTCGAGTGTCGGGGCGGCATATAAAATTGCTGACATAATCTAGCCGAGACTTCGGCATCGATCTTCAACATCGCGGAATCGCAGCTGCGGAAACCCTCAAGCCAAAATGTTCCCCACACGCGCCCTTTTCGGCCGGTCGGTCTGGAAAGGTGAGTCTTGTCAGATCTATAAAATCTGTATTCCAGTATAAATTCCCAAGAAATCACACACTAACACTTACAGCAGGCCCAAACATCGTCCCGTACGTGACATCCAATCCATGCTGAATAGAAATCAAACCCGCCCTACCTTCGAACTTAGAAGTTCTGACAATGGGACTATTCCATGCTAGAACTAAAAACTGACTCGATGACCCAAAACAGGCTCCCTCTCCCACGCGCCTTCCCCCCTCCAGCCAACACTCCTCCCATCCGCACCACGAAACGCGCAGCAACCATCCTCCCGAACTTTGTCGGTCTGCGCTTCGCTGTGCACAATGGCAAGACATACGTTGAGATCCAGGTGACAGAGGAGATGGTCGGACGGAAGCTTGGAGAATATGTTGCGTATGTATACATCTTTCTACGCCTGTTCAGCATGAACACGATGAGCAGGTCCGGGTGATGTGATTAGTTACTAACATTCTATTTGCCCTATAGGACCCGCAAGCGCTTCACATACAAACAGTCTAAGAACAAATAAATGATTCGCATAATCGCCTGGTGCAGACACCCCTTTGCGCTAGGAGAGATGCATTGCATCTCTTTATTTTGCCATACTATGTACAGATATATCGTTGGATCCCTTGTGACATTAGCTGCTTTTGGGTCGGAGTTTAATATACTTTTTCTTTGCTAGATGCAAACTGCCAATCGCAAAGTGTAATGCGACTTGTATACAATACGCAAATGTAGAACATACATAGAAAGGCAAGAAAGACAAATATGTCAATGCCCTGTTGACCACTAGTCCTAGTTCAGCATGCTGTGTTCTTACAGATTCTAATGTATATTTCCAAGCAACACATGGGAAATGTTTCATGTCATTCCATAACTAGTTCCTGTAGTATTGCATACATAGATACTAGTCTAAAAAATCATATAGTTCAAAAAAGAGAAAACGCCATCCATTGGATCCTCCCAGCCACCAGCCCAGACTAACAATGCAGCCATGATCCCAGGTCACTCAAGACCATTTGCACACCCAAACGCCATAAGCCCGAAGAATCGCAAAAGTCAAATGATAGGAAAAAGGTACAAATAAAAACCAGACACAAACGAGAAACCCCCCCGAAGACCAGTCTCCATCACCGCACTACCTGTAGAACTCGCCGCGCTTCACGCTAACTCCATATTCTGAAACTGCCATGCCAAGGTCTTCCATGGTCAACACCGTGCGTCCCTGACCAGAGCCACCAGAACCACCACCTCCGAATCCAGGCCGCTGAATACCGAGATGAGTGCCGGCTTTGTTACTCTTGCCACTATCACCGCCAGGAGCTGGGGCACCGCCAGCGCCAGCAGGAGCGCCGAGACCGGCTGCGGCTGCTAGACTGCCGATGGGGTTATTTGCAGAGGAGCTGTTTGAGGCGCGGATGCGGGCAAACTGGTACGAGTCCGCTGCGATGTCTGAGACGAATTTTTGGGCGGCGAGTGCCAGAAGGCGTGCTAGGTGAGGTGGGGTTTGGCCGGGCCCTGTGCCTGGAGGTGGGAGACCGGCGAGGGTGAGGTAGTGGGCTGTGACTGCATCGGGAATCTGGAGATCGAGGGGTCAGTTTTTCTTGCTTTTTCCTTGGTATTCTGGTGGATCTTGGGGTTTGTGTCATGAGGCTCTGCTTTCACATGTGCTTCGGCGAAATCTTGGGGTAGATCGATCGATGGTGGCGGGGGACGCCTTGGTCCACCGTATGACCAGGCGATGAGGGGAAGCTCAGAAAGATTACAGTTTTGTTTCAGAGATGACTTACGATTGGTGCATATTCGTCCATCTTGCCGAGGAACTCGCGCAAACTTGTTTCCTTCTTGGAGGGTTCTGGCGCGGGGGCCATGGGATCTTGGCCAGGCGCGCTGGCGTCCGCGTTCGCTCCGGTCTGAGTTTCGGTGTTCATATCGACGTCTTTTTCGATGGAAGCATCAAGATCAGGCTCGGTTTTGATGTTATCTTCAGATTCGGACGGAGGGGGATGCTCTTGTGATCCGTTCTGAGGTGTGGGTTGGGGAGGTTGCGATGTTTGAGAGTCGGCCATGTTGGGCAAATATCGGCAGAAACCCCCTGCAAGTATCCTTAACTTGAGACTGGGCTGCAGACTTCCAAATACAAGACCAATCAATGGCTACGGCGGTTATACGTTCGTTTATAGGGAGATTCAAAGTCACACGGGTAGTGCACGGGCCATCTGGTCCAGTGGACCTCGGGGGGCTTTTTTTCTACCTCAACTACCATACTTGTGTACGCATATATATTGGACTTGAATCTATCTACATCTCTAAGGGGTTTGTTTTCTTCATTATCATTCATTTTGACTTTATCACTATGTACTCATACATTTGGAATGCATTAAAAGCAATCGCCCAATCCCCGGCGCAATGTCGCAATCCTAATAGTAAAACAAATGTGGTTCCCGAAGGAACAAATATCACAATCCAGCCCTAGACTCCGAAACGAAATTGCAAATCCGAGGCTCTCATGACGAATCTTGCGGATGAAAAAGCTAAATCAACAAGATAAATGGTTGGATTAGACAATCCTCTACTATCCCAACTGCATATGAGGATCGATGTGGTCA